ATAGCTACTTTTCCCATTAGGGGAGAATACCTCAAGTCCCACAATTTTGTGCCTTTCGCACTTTGTTCTGGGCGGTGAATTGTCAAAAACCCCAATCTCACGGATACATGTCACTTCGAGCAATTGTTTACAAGGCAGTGACGCCAATTTTGTTATTTTTAAAACAATGGAAAAACCCAAATTTGGTTTGTCGATTAAACAATTCCCTTTCTGGGGAAAATACGGTTCAAAGTGAGCAATGACTCGAAAACAACAATTTCTCGTTATAGTCAAAGCAATACAGTTAAAATATCGACCCCAAATTTGGCACAGCACTTCTGCCAAGAGCATTCTACTCTACACCATTCAAAGGGCGTACCAACACAATTTATTGGAAAAAAAGAGATGTTCTCAGTTACTTGACTCGCTAACTCTAACCATTTCAGTCAAATTACTCATTTTTAACAAATTGTGAATAAATTTGCAACTGGGTACAGAACACTTTGTTAATTTTCTACTATGTTCTTCAAATTTGTAACTTGAGATAAAAGTTTGGCTCACGGCCCATGATCTCCGAGTCGAGTGAGGATCGTGGAACAGAAATTTGTCCCAATAACAATGGACTCGTCTCAAAATGACGCTGGGACTCAAAGTTAATATAAATTGCAAGTCAAGTGAAAAATGAGGGTGTGAAATGGTGCGCCATCAATCATTTGTAGAACGATGAAAGAATAACTTTAAGCCTTATGCCATCCGTCGGATTTGAGCAATACCGTGACTATACGAGAGAACTGAGGTTGAGACCCCCAGAGATGGGCCACTACAACAAAAGATTCCTGCATGGAATTGTACAAAATGACAAATTGTTTAAAAATAGTACAGCAAGGGCAAAGAATGTCATTTCAAACTGCACAATTTATTTCCTATGCCTACATAGATTCATTATTTTACAACGCCGTACATATGTCGTGCAGGTACAGAGGTGAGAATCCCTCGGCCTCCACCTCCACTTTTGACCCGTATAGTGGTGATTTGCGGAAACTTACAATTTTATGTTTTTAATTTTAGTAAATGATGATATTTTTGGTCATGCCGTACGTAGCTCTAAATTCCCATTTAAATTTTTGGGAAATTTCGTTGTGAATTTTTAGACATTGCATATAATAGAAATGTCATCGAGTATCAAAATTTAGCAGGTTGAATTGGTTTTCCAAATAAATGATGTTGATAATGGAAGTTCAAAGAAAAGCCGTTGCTACTGCAATATATTCCCTAATTTTTATTTTCTTTATCATAACGGAGCATTTTCAAGTTATAGCAGATATGGAAAATTTAATGTTTTTGGTTTTATTCATATTTTTTTGGTACCCTTTATTATAAACGGCTTTCATGTACAATATTGCTAGTCCAAAAATGGGTACATGATCATATGATATCGTAACCACAAAAATTATATTCATCCCGACACGCAGGTAATTATTATATATTGTTATAGTTACTATACAATATAATATAAAAATATTTTGGCATTTTGGCGTAGGTGTATTTTGCAATTATTTTATACTGTACGAGTCCAATATTCCCCACCGGAGGATTCTCACCCTTGTACCTATAGATGTACGACGGCGGCGTTGCAAACTATGCATAAAAATCAGTTGTGCTTTTTTAGCCACAAAAACCTCGGAAAATCAAAATTTTTCCTGGCTTAAGGTATCACTATTTTTGTACGACTGCAGGAGTTTGGTGATTACTTTTAATACAGTATACCATGTTTCGAAATACCGTACAGGAATCATTTGCCGTAGTTTCCCACCTTTGAGTTCTCACCTTAAGTTGTCTCAGGCAGTTAAAGTATAATTTTTTCATATAGTAGTATCGTTCTACGTATGCTTCATGGTCAGTCATTCCGCCCCCCATTAGCAGTGGGTGAAATTTATCGTAATGATCCATTGAACTGTAACGTAACAAACAAATAAAACTGAATACATGCAAAACTACTATATCAAATGATGACCCCTTAAACTGGCTAGCTCAACTCAACAGGACAAGAATCTTAGAACAAAACTTATTTTTCAAAAGCCCCTTTTTTCATTTATGCATTTTCAAATTGTCAGGATGAATTTTGGAGAATGTACTGGCGTTCATTTATTTTCAAAGATATCAAGAAATAAATTTAGGAAACCATTAGAGTTCTCAGCTTGCTGATGGTGGCAAAATAAGTTTTTTTACCACGTGAAGGTTTCAAGTAAATCACGTTAACTTTTTGATTTCATATGGACGCTGTATTGGATTTTGAGTCACTCGATAGAGAAACAAACGAAATACTTAATTTACCATTTTAGGTATAATTTTTTGAATGGGGTACCGCTTGGTCGCATTTAAATATATATTTATTTGAATACATAGGTTCCAGATAATCCCCCCACAAAAAAAGATATGTTCCTAATAGAAGTGTGAGGATGAAACAACCCATCTGCAATATATTCGTGCATGGCACAGTACACCATCTCCTTAATTTTTAAAGCCAAAATACCTCCCCAAAAAACATGCGGGGGAAAATTTCGTATTTTTTCTTGATTTAATCGCCTTACATTCCTTGCGTTCCTTGTTTCAAGATTCCGCCTTTAATCGGTACCTAGTGTAAATACTTGTGTTTCTCCAAAAGATCAGTAGGTGGCATTCTGAGCGTAGTTAATTTTTAAGGTCTTAACTTTACCCGTTTTTTGTTGACTTGACCCGGAATTGTTTGCATGAGCATTTCATAAACGAGAGTTGAATCATTTTTCAATGGCATCTTTCCTTTCGGCAAAGAGGTAGTTGTAACCATGTAGTGTGTTAATGTATATTGATTTGCTCAGAAATCCCGATAAAACATGAATCGTCCCTCCAAGTAAAATAGATAATACCCGTTTTGCAGTTTAATAATATAAGAAAAAGCACTGAACCTGTTACTTAATTCTCACTGTTTCTAAGAGTCAAGTACGTAAATCGAGCTTTGAATATGATAGGTTAGATTAGACCAAAGGGGTTGACTTCTATTTTTAGCCTTTTAATTATAACGGTTTTCCCCTAATTAAACAGATATCCCGGTGCGAAACAAATTGTGAATGCAATTTGCCACTCCTTGTCTGTTTCATTCAATGGCAATAATTGACCTTGCTAAGGTATACGCAAGAGCGACAACAAATAATTCAACTAGGTATAGGTGTGATGATATTATCAACAAATAACATGGGAAATGGTTTAATCATGCAAAAACAATTAAGATCGCTTGATTCACAGATAAATTCTAGACATTCGGTATAGAAAACAAGTGCCCGAAAACGGGTTAGTTCTTTGGGGAAGGGTACACATGATCTGTACACACGATGGTAACAAAACACAATTGGGGCTGTGAACTACTGCACACCACAAAGTCTAACAAACGTACAACTTTGTTTCCGCGATTTTGGTATATGCGAGTTCATCATTTCGTCATAGATGCGTATATTCCTAAAAATACTTCCCAGAACTTAAGGTCTCTAAGAATATGTTTAAAGTTTTCAGTCAGGACAGCCACTGTACAACGTGTTATGAGATTTTTGCACACGAAACAGCTTCGAAGTACATTATAACCGAGGAGAGACTGGACGATTTCAGCATATTGTATCTCGAGAAAACAGTATCAAAACGAATGAACTTAAAATCAATCATACACACTATTTTGCAAATGCCAACGTTAGAAGAGACGTCAAATTCTGTTGAAATACACCTGTATTTTATCAGTTATTGTATCTTAAATATTTTTATTTTTATATATGTATACCTGTTTTTACATTTACACTTTTAACATTAAAAATGTTTATGTTTTCGTATTACAAAGAAAATCATGGAGAAGTTAGGTTGATAAGGAAATAGAGAGAAAAGAAATGAAGCACCAGCACTGAAATAACACAGAAAGTTTTGCTAGAATGACTAGATTCCTCACGAAATGCATCCGGTCGTGCTTTAATTATGAGGACCACTCTAGACGAGGCGTAACACACTGGCCAGTTGAACCCTTTGTTATAAATACCAAAGGGTTTGGAAAAGAATGGTGTAGTGTGGTGAGCCCTGTTTTAGGAAGAAGGACCTCTCTGTAAAAATCACTTAGATTGTGAAGAAGTGCGTGAGATTCTTAAAAACAGTATACGAGTATATTTTCCTTTCTCTCTGGAGACGTTTTTGATTTTCCCGTATTTAAGCTGTATGGAACAGGTTCAAAAGCAAATTAATCTTTCTTGATTTTCTATTAATTTTGAATATTACTGCAAGGTTCATTGACATATTATTAAGTTTTATATAAACTCCAAACTCAAAGTTTCAATAGAGAACATCCTTCGCGGATGCGCATTAAAATAACTAGCCCTCGAATGAATGGCTAAAGCGTACTTTTTACATGTCGCGTTTAGTGTAATAAATATTTAATTTATAAACGGCTATCCATCAAGGATTTCGGTTTTACTATCTAAGGTCTACGGAATAATCGTAGAATGAATAGTAAAAAAACAATAATTAAACAAAGACTTATTAACTATATTATCGTTTCTACACCTCATTACTATTAATCTATTCCCGCCATTAGTACACATGGATGACGAGGTCAACCAATTATAAAAGTCGTTAAATTATTATTGCCCCCGAATAACAAATTATGGAGTTTTCAACATTTCTTAGACACAATTAATCCACTAATTTTGCACTGAAGATGATTCTTTCAAATTCGGATATACTATAACTATAGAGTTACTATAGTTGACCAAATGAAATATTTTTCAGTCGGGGATAAACACGGCAACAAAAGTTCAATAAGTTAGAAGAACTTTGTGGCGTACTTTTGTAACATAGGTACCTACTGTATATACTTTACAGTTACACTTTAATCAAGTAAAAATTGGAAATATCTATATTTGTTGAACATTGTGTTATATATTTCCATTTTCAGAAAAATGGGCAATCAACTCAAAATGGAACATTAATACGCAAAAAAAGATAGACAAACATTACTGACCTTTAACATCCCCAGTATCCGGAGGACGCATAATATCGTTTAGATAATGTTCTAAGCCCCTCATTGTTTCCAAAGGACTGCTGCCGTTGGCGCTCACAACTCCACATCGATCCTGAATTAAAAAAAGCAAAAAAGAATAAACGTTGAGTTTTTTACAAGAACTTTTATATAGAGGTTTCATTAAAATCTCAGAAATTATGTAGCATGCTAACAAAGAGCTCGAGTCGCTATTACGAGGACGTGACAATGGTTATTATACTTACAGAGTAAAAGCGACTTCGCGTGTTTCCAAAAACAATTCTGCTAGTCCGAAAAGTTAAGATTTATGCAAAAAATGCAATAAACGCAATTCATTTTCATTATAAGTAATAAACTTACTTCTTTAGCACATCATGTACTACCCCGCTGAGAAAGGTCGAAAGCGTATATAATCGATAAACCCGGCTGTGTAAGTAATATTTTCAGTAACAACCAAAAGGAAGATCAATCAGAAGGACTCGCGGTATTTCCAGATCGAGTGTAACTATTTTTAGAACAAAAGTTATGTTTCAAAGCACAAAAAGCTCGATGCTTATGCTGAATAACAATTTGATCGGATAAAGTGCTTTTTGTTTTAGACGCTACTTATTCCTATTGAATGCGTCAGGCATCTTAACTTCCCTTCCGTCTTTCTATTCATATTCCTTTTTACCTCTAACCTTTACCTATATCTTATTTTGCACGATACTAACGATATCATTGAAAACGCAAGACAAGATTAGTTGACACTTCGCATGTTTCACAAATATTCAAGAACGTGCTTGTAATTAAAGTGTCTTAGTGCCTTTTCGCAGTCAATTCTGATATAAATTTCCATTCGCCCACCAATCAATTTCCAAAAGGTATGACGAAAGCCAGTTTTACATACTGAAACTTATTTCATGAAAGTCGAAGTGAAATAACTTTCCGGAAATTTTTGAAGTGGCAGATGTGTTACATGCTGCAATTCTATTTCACTTTCAAGTGAACTTTTGCCAATACAAACCTAAAAAAATATATAGGTTAGATCGACGCCTTTTATAACTGGTTTCTCTTTTATTTCTGTGCTGTTACAATTTTCGCTCAATAATCTGCCTCCAACACAAAGGACCACTAAATAACACAAAACACAATATTAATCTTTAGAGTTGACAGCCCTAAAATTTCAGCCCGAACCGAAAAACTTTCAAGAAAAGCACCTATTGCGCAAGCCGTCGATTAAGGTAACTTTCACAAAAACATTCAACGCTTAAAAAAAATGTCTCTTTAAAACTCGCCTGAATGTGCACCTTCAAAACAAAATTCAAAGAAGTGTAGGTATACGTTTAAGTACAGAAGCGTTGCGTTGAATAGATTTTGCTAAAAAAAATTAGGCCCACACAATGAGATCTGTCTAATATGAATATGGTGGTTAGGCACAAAGTGAATGGTGAAAATAAAATAGCAGCCTTCTAATGGGTTGCACCCAAAAGATTTTAGCAAATTAGGGATTATGGCTTGTGAAAAGAACAGACTAAGAAACATGTCATTTAGAGCGGTTACAGGTGCCAGGTCATTCGACGTGTAGTGCGAGGAGGTTGAAACTATAAAGCATAAGAAAGCTGGAAGAAGTTATATCTTCGCTGTTTTACTAATGAGTGGAAACGCTACAATTTCCCTTAAATTCCATAACAAATTTGTCGTCGTGTGAGTAAAGATGATTTAAGCCGATTTAAATCAAGGAATTTTGATTAAAAAGAATCATATTTAAATCAATGGATATGTTGACCAAATTCAAAGTTACTATATAATAGAATGAGTGAGATACGCAAGGTATGTCTAATAAATCACTTTCCGCAAAAGAAATACTGTCAAACTAGTATTTGAAGTGAGAACAAGTTCAAACTTCATTTTTAGGCCGTACATTTCATTTACTCCCTTTAAAATTTTCAATAGTACATGGGGTCACTTTTGATTTACTTCATTTGGTTCAGCAGAATAGAATATTATTACTTAGTGTTCAAATTAATAGATGACAATGAACTTGCAAATGATCATCACCCCCAGCGCAAATTAAATTTTTTTTGGGGGTGACTTCCACCTATGGCTATTCAAATTTGCCGTTTTGAGTAAAGGGTCCAAATTTTAATTGGTACATCAGTTGTTGTATTTTGTGTCTCCCCTAACACTGAAGCTGCCCTTAATTTCTCCTCAAGTCCCTCCCAAATCCTTCTCAAGTTTTAAGCTTCTCTCAATTTCCTCAAGTTTTTATCAAATTACGCCAAGTTTCCTTTCAAATTTCCACAAATTCCTCTCAAGGTTCCAGCAAGTTTCTCTAAATTATTCTTCTGTAAGTACCTATGTCACCAGACGTAGTGTCCCTCACTGGGAATAACCCAGATCGATTTCTCTTTGTATGTTTGTGGAGGAAACCACTATCAATTATAAAAATGCTATTTCGTTAATCTAAGAATGTAATTGCGATCTTCTCCACAGCGTTCATCACATTCAGTAGTATCTGGACCATAGCGGCAACAAATAAACTTAAAATTGTGATAGTTTCCCAAGTTCATTATTGCCTATTTTCATCTGGTTGTAGGAAGAATATTTTTGCATAGAAACAATCGAGATAAGATTATTGATCATGGAAGTTAAGTAACACCTATAGTCTGCGATAATCTGAAGTAAAGTGAAAAGATACCTAAATCCAATGGCTATGGGAGCTCTTGGGATGCCTTCATTAGATCTCACCTGAATGTCAGTTTCTGGGACATGGTACTTGGTTCCACGTGTTTGGGAACTATTGCAAAATGCTATGTAGAGATTGCTATTGTATAAATTCTGAAGGAGACTCATCAATGCGATCATAATAACAATTAAAGTTGAATGTCACAATTAGTTTATGCGTCCACGTCCAACTATGGAACATGAATTACGTAATACTAATTCTGAATTAGGTAAATTTAATTTGGGGAGATCTAATTTAAGTCCGTTAAAGTGGTGATAGTCTAGTCTTACCTGATGGGGTACGTAATGCGAGAATCCAAAATTGTTATTTGTGCTACCATTAATTAAATAATACGGAACGTCTCGGCGTGTGTACATAGTTTATTATTAACTTAATTGTGTTAGATTAGATAAAGGCGTAAAATAGCACCTTTTAATTGTTCGTTCTACACTGTAACACAAGTACAAACAATATAAGTGAAAATGTAACGTCAACTTCATCTATAATCGAAAACAGGATGTTACGACATACAAGTTAATACGTACTTACAGTACGTCACGAATTTAAAAATAATTAAGCAAAATATTGTAGGTGGAAATACATGGTTTGGAATCCTTTTGAAGTTCTTTGAACGAACTTGGCAATTTAAAGGACTGCATTTGTGACCGGGCCTGATCTACCATCCATGCGCTAATTTTGTTTTACAGAAACACAACTACCTATTAATATCTGGGTAGCGGATCATCAATGACATTCGTGTCCAAAACTGTAAATGTATTCTGAAGGCCAATAAACTAATGTTTGTCATTACGACAAATTGGTTCGTAACGTGGGTTGCCTAGATTCCTTGCATTTTGATGCCGGTATAAAACGGCACGAAAGTAACATTTATCTTCCACAGCAATAATTGAGGCTCATCAACTATTTTAATTTCCTCCCTTCTCCCAAACTCTCTTAAAGGGAAAGTCAAGTTTTTTAATATGGGTTTCCATCTTTTCCCACCTAAAATAATCATATCTTAGTGCTTGGAAGCCAACAACTTTTCCTATGGGGCGCAATTTTATAGATCTTAGCCATGGCCATAGTTGTAAACAATGGTACCATATGAAACTTTTCAGAAACTTTCTTATTCGCACATTTTTGCCGCGCTCTATCTCCTTTTCTGTTCACTAAAATCATTCTAAAAAAAGCTGGGTGCAAAACAGCCTTATTTACTAAAGCAAAAAACTCTTTTGCAAGTTATTATTATGACGACTATGCATTAGCCTTAGGTTTAAAGATAGCAGTTCGCGTTTTTGCTTATGGTCATATTCTCAGGCGCTATATTAATTCGAAAACCCTCCATTCCGAACATCATAAATAGGACTATGTTTTTCTTTTATCAAAGTCCATGGCTACTTAGACTAAAAACTCATGAAAACAGAATCTTTATAATTAATTTTTTCGCGTACAAGAAGAGGTAGAATAATCGTTTCTATTTGCGTAAAATAATTAGGAAACGTTTGCGCAAAGAAAAAGTAATTTCCCATATTAAACGCCTATGTTCCACTTTTCGATTTACACCCTGTACAATCAAGCTAAGGGTATTATGCAGCTTCTCGACGAAATAATTGAATAAATAAAGATTTTACTTTACCAACTTAACCAAAACGCGAATCTAACAGGCAGGCCATAAAATGTAGGTCCTGTGCATCAAAGCAACGTGTTTTCAGTTTACCCCATGAAAATATTGGTGAATAAATAAAAATGTTGCTCGATAAACTTAACCAAAGCAAGAGTATGACCAGAAGAGCATAAAATTTAGTTCCAGTGCATCAAAGCAATGCGTTTTACAGTTTACCCCCTGAAATTGGAGAATAAATGTGTTAAAATTGGGTGATAGATTTTGGTCTACCAACTCAAGTATGCCACGTAGCACACAAGATATTGGTACATAATTTGAAATGTTGCCCAAATTTGAACATCATCCCGTAGTGATGAGGAAACCAACATGGGGAACATATATGTACCAAATGAGACATCAACAAGCTTTCGTGCCTGTTTTTCCATCTGATCTTAAAATGTTCAAATGAAGACTTTTCCCACGATATGTCAATATTATCAAATTTAAAATTTCGGAGGTTGTGATTACAGGGCTGAGGGATGAATAAACGAGTAAGTGGGTTTTATCGGGAAAAGTTATTTGATTAACGCATCAAATAGGAGCCCTGTTTAGGATATTAACTTCAGAATAGCTTGAGTCTAATATTAGTCGGTCCAAGCAAAAGTTCACTTTTAACTAACCGAATCTAGAGCTCAGTTTGGTTTTCCTGTACTCGCTTGTTTCTCAAATTCTAAGCAAATCTACCTACCTAATACTAAAAATTGTCATTATCGTCTATGAATTG